GATGTTATTCCTTTGTTTCATTGTTGTAACAAGTATATTTGGTTATTGTAGTCTTCCATGTTGTGGAATGTTAATGTAAATGTGAACATATGTGCAAATAGGAAATTATTATTCACATGTAAATGAAATCTGATGATGAAAATGAAATAGAAGTATAAAACTATTTTTCACTTGTTTTTTAACCTCAAAGGTGTTGTACTGCAGGAAAAACAATATCATACTGAAATTACAAAACAGTGTACTGCAGGAAAAACAATATCATACTGAAATTACAAAACAGTGTACAGTCACTTGGAGATTGGATAAGGATAGTGTTATTTTTTAGTGGGGAGGAGTTCATCTCTCCCAAAATTCCATTTCACAGGGCAAAGAATATTTCCCCAGGGCAAAATTCCCTTCCCCCCCAATACTTTTATGGAATAATATATTTTACCAGATTCCAAGATAGGCCATGTTTTCTATCACTAGGCCATCATACTTACATCCTCTTAATAATAACTTGGCTCTACTCCTAAGATTCTGTCACTAATCAATTGCTTCATCTTATTTGTAAACAAAGTCACATATATGTCACATTTTTATTGGATGTAATGGACTGCAAGTTGTCATACATTCTTGTTCTTCTAATTTCCAAAGACATCAGCTTTCCCTATATTTACAGATGTAAAACTGTATCAGGCCCTTCCATAATTCATTACAGTAATACAACACCTCTAGCAGTTACTAGATTTAGATGCTAGAAACAAGTTACTGGTTTTCTGCACATAAAATGGGAACCACTAAGGTATTGACTATAGGTTGGTGTCATTTTTTAAATTCTTTCAGGAACGTCCCTGACTATAATATCTTTTTCAGGTCTAGGTTTCAGTAGATAGTTAGATAGATGAACTTTTATAGTGGTACAAACATGAATGTGCTTTGAGTTGGGCAGACATCTTTTTTCCCAAGACATTGCTTGGTTGATGTATGCAATAAAAGCAAATTATAGAAAAGGAAAATTAAAGCCTCATTTTTTGTGGGTTTTCATGAAGCATATCAAGACAGGGAATGGGACCTCTGGTGCACTATCATACCGTGGATGAGTTGTTCAGAGACACTTGTATGATGGTTTTAGCAGATGTCATCTGTTTATATTATGATTTTTTTAAACTGTACTTGTCTATCTACCTACCTATGATTGTATTTATAATCTAGGTAGATAATATTTCTATATCTCTACAATATCTGCCCTTATGTCTCTTGGTATGATTAAAATTCAAATCAATTATATTTTCAAATGTTTTAAAGTGAATCTTTCATTATTATTATTGCTGCATTTGTTGTTAATTGTCATCATTGTTATCATTACCATAATCATTTTGATTATCATTTTAACATGAAGATAATTTGCAGATATAGTGGTAGTTGCCTATGAAACAGAGAGAGGTCTTAGTTTGATAACACTTCTTTTTTCTAGTAATGGGATGTGACTTTTATTTAATGTTGATATGCAAATTCATTGAACTTTATTCACCTAACTTTATTTTAGAATTCAACATTGTACATACTCAAACTTCAATATATGTGTCTTATTGAATAATGCTGTACATGAAATTGGCAGAGAAGCCATGCCCCTCTTTTATTGTTAATAAGCTAATTGGCTCATACCATTTGTATTTGTTTTTTGTGTAAGAACATTGAAAATATGGCATATAGGCATTATAACTTTAGAGAGTTTGTTAAAAAGTCAGACACAACATTATTTGTGAATAAAGCCTATTCAAATGTCTTTGTTTTGTAGCAATTACAGACAAAACAAAAATGTCAACAGATACAATAGTAAACAAAGTTTATATAGGTTAAGTATATCTTATATTATGTAAATGATAAAAGATATTTACATTATTGTTAGCAAAAAAAAAAGCAATACTACAAATAGTCTGTGTTGCTACAAAAGACCTTATTCCAAAAATTCGAATGAAATATACAAATGACTTCTTTGTGCTCATCGGTGTTGTTTCTCAAAGTTTCCTCTTAACTTTCCGGGAAGAGAACATTCTTGGGTGCACAGCTAAAGCTCATCCATATTGTAATTTTTGATGTAATGAAAGCTGCTTCTATTGCAAGTGGGTCGGAGGAAGGAATCGGAAACACTTGGGTTGTACTTTTTACACAGATTATACAACAAAGGTCATGATTTAAGAAACATATTCCAACACATTTATATGCATGATGTGTTCAGATCAACATGTGAACGTGACTAAAAGAGGGCAGTCAAACGCCCAGCAGCCCCTGAGAATGACGCAAGGAGCTTGTGACATTAATCAAGACTAAGCATTGCGGAATGACCGATATGTAAATGAGGTTCAGTTCTTGTCATCCTTGCATAAGGAATGGCCAGGAGCCTCAGGAAAAACTGGAGGTCGAAGGAAATGTTCAGTGCTGAAATTTCACGTTTGGCGCTATCCTCCTTTCGTGATTGTTACTACTACTCCTATTACTACTGTTACTGCTACCACTA